ATTTTTATCCGGATAGACCTCGACTTTGTGTCGACAGTGGTCTTTTGTGCTACATCTCATCGACTGTTGTTGTGTTCTTCTCCATGCAGTCAACTCTTGATCTCATATTTCCATCTTTTTTTTCTTATGGGTCAAATGGATTGTTTAACTCATGGGAGTGAACAGCTCCAATGGTGCCCACTTGGTCTGAGGTGCCACAGCATTGAATGCCTTGAACATGGGTAATTCTTTATCAAAGTATTTGGTCCCAGGAATCTACTTTTCCGGCCTTTTGTTTCCATCCTCGCTCACGTGCTTGTTTTGCTTTCATCTCTGGACATTAAAATTGGTGCAAAAAATAATCTACATTTTATTAAAGACAGGAGGTGAATATCCCACTCCTTCCCCTCCCCCTTGCTTTTCTTTCCCATCCTTTCTTTGTTTCTTCATGCCATGATGGATGTTATGATAATATGTTTTGATTCTTGGGATTGTGTTTCATGGTTCTGTTTTGTATGTATTTTTGCATGTTTAGATTAATGGGCTGTCTTTATATTGTTGTGACTAGTTCTTACAGTTTTCTTTCAAAAGTCTTTCTTTTTAGTGTGATGTATATGTTTCCTATTTTGCTGCGTTTTAAAGCTGTGGTTGCCGTTTTATGGATGTTCTGCTCTCCTGGTCGACCTCATCAAAAAGAGGAAGTGGGAGAGTCTAGTTAAGCTGTTTATATGTCTTACCTCATGCGGATTGGTTGTTTTCTATTGAATATGCTAACTGTTTCTTTGCTGCTGGAGGTTTAGTAAAGAAAATATAAGAAAATATTCACCTCCTTTAAATTATTTCACCACCAAGGCTAGAAAAATCCTGAATTTGGAACAACTATCTGAGATTAACATATTAAGACATCTAAGACAAGTATAATTAGAGGTTTCTTATACTCTTTCCACACATTTCCTATGGACAAACAATATTATGGCTGGCAAAATCAGGCCAGATGGTTTATTGCTGTAGAAATCTGAGCACCGCAGTTACAAACAAGGAATAGAAATTGTAAAGCACTGTGTTTCCATTTTATGACTTTGCATATTACATTAACATTACATTTAGCAATGCACACAGATTTTAGATAGACGATAGCCCCCAAAAAATAATAAAAACATAGTATCTGTAATTATTATAGATTATACGGTTCTCAAACTTTTTTTATCAGCAGTAATGTCAACACTCATTTGACCGTTTCATCTATAATATATGTGACAATTTGTAGAAATATTCACTTGCTTTTTCCTTATGCACTGCCTGCATATTTGCAGTTTATTACAAAAACCTGATATATGTTATTGTAATAAATAGTTACATCTTCCAAGCACAGTAATCCCCGATACATACTGCTGCCAGGAGTTTGTAAATTTACAGGGAAAAATTAAAAGCTTGTTCCGTTCAGTTTACAAATATGCAACGTTGATTCTGATTTACCACCATTTATAGGGCATCTACTAAGCATCTATAACAGATGTGATTGAGAGAAATTTCTGACATTTTGATATCAGGCTCTTTATTTTTAATACAGATGTTGCAATTTGCCTCCAATATACTATTGCTATTTTTTATTTTTATTTTTGCAAAAGGCACTTGGCTTTTTCAATGTTGAGGAAAGCTGGAGAAAGTCATAAGTCCCAGAACCACATGGGCCAAAAAGGCATGCCCCACTTCATGTTTTGTATTCTTGACTCTTTTTGCTGGTAATTTCCACTTCCTGTGTGTTGGAAAATAGGAGATCCAGAGTTATTTGGCACTTATATACTAATCTGTGTTATTGGACTTTTTTCTAGGGTACCATTCCTCTAGAAGATTATATAATGATATCCCTCTCTCTTCATGATTGAACAATTTTAGACCATTCAGTCTGAAACAATGTAAGTGGATTTTCACTTAATTTACTATATGCAGAAAAATGCTTCCCAAATTATCTGATGAGGTCCAAATTGGAACCAATCTATTATAATTGAAATAACCCTGAATTTTTCCCATCATGTGATTTAGGATTTTGCCATTCTGGACACAATAAGTTAGCCCGTTGATATATGTTATTCAATAACTTCAGAAATGTCACCATAGGCCCAAAGATTACTTTTTATTTGTACAACTGCTCACTAGTCTCTCAACGTGCTATAAAAGTATTCAAATGAGTGAAAACAATGATAGAAACAAAAGTTAGTTCAATACTGAAATTTAGTTTTTACTTCGAATTTCCTCACAGCAGCCTTTAGGGCATTAGCCTTTCACACACTAAAATAAGAGGAAAAATGTATGTTCTCATGAATGGAAGTTTTCTCTGACTTTAATCAATTAGAGGAAAAAAATGTTTATAATTTACTCACAATCAACTGCTGTTTATTAGTTGAATGATTTTGAAAGGCTGGGATTCGCAGTATTTTGGAATCGACTTTAAATGTATTTGTACGTTGTACCTATAGGCACCTAGGTATTGATAACTATTAAGCAACCTCTTTAGGAATGACGTAGGCTATTTATTCCAGCCTGTTAATCACCTAGGACATAGATTGTGCAGATCGTACTGAGGACGCCAGGCTCTCTTTTCCTCTGTTCGTCTGTCACAGTAACTCAGAAGACAAGAAACTGCAAATAGATATATGTGTCAAGTACCACAGGACTCTACTCAAATATATTGCCATTTGATTTTACTAGTTTTAGCTTTTTTCATTTTTTTAGCGCCACTCAATAATAGATGATGTCTCATTTTTATGCTATTTGCCAATATGCATTGTGTAATATATAAATTGTTAATTATTGAAATGCTATAACTCTTACATTTTAATTTTATAAATTATTTGTGTATTCAAAATAAAGGCCAAGTATTACTTTTTCAATGTGATGTATGCCAAGTTTTATATAATTAGAAAAGTATTGACTTTTGGTAACATTTTGTAGGCAATACTTTATAAATGTTATCAACCATACTGGACCAATATTAGGTTAAAAGAAAAAGTTATTTGATAAAATGTTATCTACCTTTTAGTGGAAAAAAAGAGAAAGCTTTAGTACTCCTTGCTCCCCTTTATCAGAAAATAATTATTTAAAATGTTGCATGAAAAACAATTAATAACAATGTTTAATAACAATTATATTAAATTAGACAAGTTAGACAGTTTCTTGCCCTCCACCATTCTTTCCTCCCAGACACTCAGTTACAAAATGGAGGAAAGAGAAAACGTATGTGTCTGCAGTGGTGTAATCTGTTTATACCGCAGAAAGAAATTTCACATTCATTATGGTATGCAGTGTGTGTAGTGAATGCAGTATCTGTGTTTGTGTAGGGGATGCAGTGTGTGTAGTGAATGCATTGTTTGTGTGTGTGTATATATATATATAGGGGATGCGGTGCGTGTTTATTTTGTAGATGCAGTGTGTGTAGTAGATGCAGTGTCTATGTGTATTGTATGCAGTGTGTGCAGTGAATGCAGTGTAGTGAATGCATTGTGTGTGTGTATAGTGGATGCAGATTGTGTGTGTATAGTGGCTGACGTATGTATAGTGGATGCAGGGAGAAGGGACACTAGATTCCTTAGTGATCTAGTAGCACAGTAGGTTGCATTGTGAAGAGGGGACCCAGGAGTCTCATCTTCTGCCTACAGTAGCAGCAAGTCCTCTCCTCTCGTGAGCTATGAGAGCGTTGGTGATGGTTGCCATGGCAACAGTCTGGCATGCATTGCGTACCTTGTGGAGTGTTGCCATGGTAATGCTCTTGCAGCTCACGAGAGGAGAGAACTTGTTTCTGCTGAAGGTGGTAGAGGAGACTCCTGGGCCCTTCTCTTCACTGGACAAGTCAGTAGGGGCCCAGACCTCTCTCTCTCGCTATATATATATAGCGGTACTTGCAATATACATGCATAGGCGACCTGGGCCCCGTAAAGCAGATTTGTTGAAGTGTACAGGGGTGGCAAAAGTGCCCCCCCCTGTCAAAGTGCCGCCTGGGGCCATGCATGGGCCGGTCCTGACCCCATAGCCACCAGACACCAACATTTATGTTACTATCAGGGATTTTTGCAAATTCTGCAAATACCCCAGATGGTGACAGATACACTTTAAACCTTTTTTTTTTATTCTTTATTTTTGCAGTGCAGATTCAAAGACATGTTACCAATATGACATATAGCAAAAGATAATATAACACAGCAGAGTTGTGAGTAGTCATGAGGTGCTGCTCTTTTTTTTTTTTAAAGCAAAAAAACAATAATATGGGATTTACAGGCTAAATAATAAACTAAGTAGGCATGTTGGTTAATGAGTAAACAATGAGTGAATACACATGTTATACGTATGGACATGCTAAGAGAAAGCAAGCTAGGTATATAATAGTACAAATCACATCTGGAAAACAAATAAAACATACATAGTGCTCTTCATAAAGTATAAAATGCAAGAAATAAAATATATAGACTGCACTCACAAAGGTGGACTGTATCAGGCTCTATGCATGTAGCCCTTGGGTGCATATACAGGCTTTCTATTTGCCCCAGTCAGGAACACGAAGTCCACAAAAATGGGTATCAAAATGTAAATTTAGTTAAACAAATATTATAAATAAAATAATAAGGGACAAGGGTGAGGCAAGTATAATAATAAGATATAGGTAAATACACTGCAAATATGGGCAATAAAAACAGTGCATATGTAAAGATAAGCATAAAAATACCGCCACACAGAGTCCTAAAATAAATCCAGTCCACAGCAAACGTGTTTCAGCCCTAGATATGGCTTTCCTCAGTGCTACTGACTGGCCTGTTCTTGGGGTTTAAATACCCCTCCCGATGTGGATAACTTGTTCTGGCTGTCCCAGAAGTTCATTTCCTCTTCCGGCTATATTTAGTCACTTCCGGCATGATGCGATCACGTGACTTGCAGTCCAGCTAGTGGGGACAATGAGACTTGGAAACACTGAGACACTAAGGGGCACTGGGAGACTTGGGAACGCTGGGAGTCTTGGGACGCTGGGAGACTTGGGGATGCTTGGAGACACTGGGAGACACTGGGAGACATGGGGACACTGAAACACTAGGGATACAGTGTACCCTAGTCTCTCATTGTCCCCATGTCTCCCAGTGTCCCTAGTGTCTCCCAGTGTCCCTAGTGTCTCAGTGTCCCCATGTCTCCCAGTGTCTCTGTGTCCCCATATCTCCCAGTGTCCCCTAGTCTCCCAGTGTCTTTGTCCCTATGTCTCTCAGTGTCCCTAGTGTTAGTGTTGCCATGTCTCCCAGTGTCCTCATGTCTATATCCACAAGTGCCCTCATATCTCCCAGTGTACCCAAATGTCTCAGTGTCCCCAGGTCTCCCAGTGTCCACTGGTGTCTCTGTGTTCCAATGTCTCTGTGTCCCCTAGTATCCTAGTGACATGGGGACATTGGGATACATGGGGACACAGACACTAGGAGGCATGGTGACCCAGACACTAGGGGACACTTGGAGACATGGGGACACTGAGAGATACATGAGGACACTCTTAGACATTAGGGGACAATGTTAAATATGGGGATGCTGTAAGACTTTGGGACTTGTCCCCATGTCTCCCAGTGTCCCCTAGTCTCTGTGTCCACATGTATCCCCATGTCTCTCAGTGTCCCCTAGTCTCCCAGCCAGTGTCCCTATGTCTCCCAGCCAGTGTCCCCGAGTCTCCCAGTGATGCCTAGTCTCCGAGTGTCGTCTGTGTCCCCATGTCTGTGTCCCCATGTCTCTGTGTCCCTAGTATATTTGTGTCCCTAATATCTCTGTGTCTCCAAATGTTTTAGTGTTCCCAAGTCTCCCAGCCAGTGTCCCTAATGTCTGTGTCCCCATGTCTTCCAGTGTTCCCATGTCTCCCAGTGTCCCCTAGTCTCCCAGTGCCTGTGTCCCCATATCTCTTAGTGTCCCCATGTCTCCCAGTGTCCCCAAATGTCTGTGTTCCCATATCTCTTAGTGTCCCCTAGTCTCCCAGTGTCTGTGTCCCAATGTCTCTCAGTGTCCCCATGTCTCTCAGTGTCTCCAAATGTCTTAGTGTCCCCAAATGTCTGTGTCCCCATGTCTCCCAGTGTCCTCGTGTCTGTATCCACACGTGCCCCCAAGTGTCTGTGTCCCCATGTCTCCCAGTACCCCATGTCAACCAGTGTCCCCTTGTGTCTCACTGTCCCCATGTCTCCCAGTGTCCCCAAGTGTGCCAGTGTCCCCATGTCTCACAGTGTCCCCATGTCTCTCAGTGTCCCCTAGTCCCCTAGTATCCTAGTGACATGGGGAAACTGGGAGACATGGGGACCCATACACTAGGGGATACTGGGAGACATGGGGACCCAGACACTAGGGGACATTGGGAGACATGGGGACAATGAGACACAAGGGGACACTGGGCGACATTGAGACCCGAGGGGATACACTGTGATACATAGGGACACTGATACATAGGAACACTAGGAGACCTGGGGACACACACTAGGGGGCACTGGGAGAAATGGGGACACTGACAAACTGGGAGACTAGGGAACTGGGCGACATAGGGACACTGAGACACTGGGAGCAATCCATCTATACTGCAGAATCAAACTGTAAGTGGTTTTTTGGTGATTTTACAGAATTTTCTCTTATGTCACTGCTGGCGATTTAGATCATTTGATGTTACGCATACATAATTAAATATGCAAATAGGGGGAGTATTTTTTTTCCAAGAAAGGTGGCAACCCTAACTTCTCTTCACATACTCTTGCTTAGCTTAAGAGGGATGTATGGGAACAAAACCTGTGTGGACTGGCTGAAAATGAAATTAGTTAAGGTAATGCTGACTTTGGTCACTGTGGCATGTCCCCTTTCTTCTACACTCCCTACATACACCTTCTCTCTGTCCCAGACTATATACCAGGAGCTATTGCCTGCTAGTAAGAAGGTAAGGAGACAAGTGGATGTGTGACTGCTAGGGAATAGTCCTTAGAAAGCATGGAGTAGGAGCATCATTTGACGCATTTATGTCAAGCTCAGGGTGCTTTCTGCATAGTATGCCCTTAGTGTGCCAGCCTGCGTGTTTGGAAGGCAGCCTGACATGCATTAATGCCAGGCTGGCCTTTAAGTTTTTTGGGCAGACATGCCCCCTTTTTGGGCATGTTCACCCCTTTCGGCAGTTCTGGTTACGTGATTTGCGACAGTGGCACACCCTTTTACCCTGCCTATTGACTTCCTGCTTCACTGGACACTGCTGTTAGGGGGTATGGATTTACTTAAAAGATGAATGCATACATTAGAGAGAGATAAGCATAAGGTATGTGTTTTCTTATAGCTGCATACTATGAGTTTCCCTCCAGCACCACCTCCATTGATACATGACACTTGGGAAGTATGACCATTTTATTGTTTTTGGTCGATGAGATTCTGTAATTAGGTCCATCATAATTGTCAGCACCAAGCCCAATGGGCTCTTAATCTGGCCCTGACATACAAGAATTGTTCCTTAGAAGCATTTATTATAGTTGTGATATAAAAAAAGGAACCAAGGATGGGTAGACTGATAATTTTTTGGCACTTAAAATTGTTGTTTTTAAAATTGATTTTTGGTCCCTGAGGAAGTTCCCACTGGGAAAAGAAAAGAGTAGGACCTCATTTGTTTATACTTTTTATTTTACTGTTTTATATCAAATACATTTTTGGCAACAATTTCTACCCATCGTGTTCCTGATACCTGTTCGTGTGATTGGAATATTAAGAAAAGCTCCTGATCCGACACCCATACGGGGGAGGATTTGTGATATGCGCAAACTTCTTTGATGTCTGTGAGTGCAATCATTACAGCAGTGAATTTATTCTCATGTACAGTGTTGCACTATGTCTGGTTTATGTTTATTTTTTTAGTGTGAAGATCACTCAAAGGGAAGTGATCGTGGGAAGCTGTATACAAAAGTTAAGTTGATTATTTATTTATCTCGAAGTGGCACTTTCTTTTGGTGTTTAAAGGGATATTCACATATATTTTAGCCATATCTTAAGCAGACAAATCAAGGTGTAAACCACCCCCCAGTCGAGGTCCACTGTTCAAAGCAGATGAACATGAGGATGTTTTTCTTATAATATTAATTTGTCAAAAAGGCAAAAAATCTAATTCACAAGAAAAAATATTTAACACTTTACGAAACTTTAATGACCAAACTCAAAAACCTCCAATTATTTATATTGTGTAGATTACTTTTAATTTTTTCCCTTTATTTTCATTTAGGAGTAGAAGGTGACTTGGGACTGATTAGGAGAGTGAAAAGTAGATATAATGTGTTTTCCAACATGATATTTTTTATATTTATGTTAGGATTTACACTGATCGAACAAGTCAGTGAATGGTGCACAGTTTAACAAGTGAGGTCTTTTCATATGCAGATAACTCTTTGGCAAGCTTTCAACTCCTGTTGACATTACCAGTGAGGTGACGCTCTAAAAGCTCTCTAAAAGCCCATGCATGGATCTGTTCAGGTTCAGAGGGATACACACAAATGTATATCTCTTTGTTTTTCAATTCTGTTCAATGACAGCTTGGTAATGCATGTTACAGCACACGCTCAGTGCAATAAGATCACACAGTGAGACCCACTCAGAGAACCATTCAAGGTATTTTCAGATCCATGTCAAGACTGGGGAATCCTGTTGTGCCAGTGATGATATAACAGAGAGTATGCCAAATCTTTGGGCATTACAACATACAAACTATCTGCTGTATTTGTCTGTCAATATGTGGCCAGTAAATTGTTATATGTCAGATTATGACATAGTGTTTATGGTGTCAATTTGTACTGTCATTTGAAGGTGTCTGGGAATTAACAAACATATAAAATGAAAGGCATAGTAAAGTATTTTGCCTTACACAGTAATACTCTAATCTCACTAACATTCAGACGAGGGATAATAGTAGCACACATTTAAAGGAACACTATAGAGTTAGGAATACAAAACTGTCTTCTTAACATTATAGCATCCCCCTGTCCGAGCCCCCACGCCCCACCCCCAGCCATGTAAGGGATAAATATATAATTCTGGTTAAAGTCCAAACAGCAATAATCAGAAGATGAAATGAAACTTAGTTTGCATGTTACAAACCAAAACATGATGCCAAAAAATCTGCACATTTTCCATTTTTAGTTATTAGGCAGTTTAAAACCCTGTCATTGTTTTTATACAAAATTATTATTCTTAAATGAAAAACAGACATTTGTGGAAAAAATGCTGTTTTGGCAAGACTAAAGCCATGATTTTTCAATGAACTCTGTGTTAAAATAAGGTTCACAATCATTTACCTAGACCGCAGTGGTTATCTTATGAATATTATCCTGAAGCCACATCATTTGTAATATGTTTTAAAACTGGCATATATTGGATAGATGTGACTCTTTACAAATTCCCTTAATACTCGATGGATTGCATTGCAGTCTGTCGTTGAAGCATCCATCATTTAGTGTTTCATTGGAAGCATCTGCAAATATTAAACAAAACAGACACTATGTTTTCTCCATTTTTGCGATGTTACATTGTTTTATTACTATTGTTTTATGTGCACATTTCATCAAGATTAGGAAAATAAGTCATGGCAATCTTATATTTAAAAAGTATATTGATTGTGTACTCACTGCTCAGGAATGGGAAGAATATAACTTTGAAAGAATGTGGCAGTTATCCATCTTTTACCAATAAAAAGTCCCATGCGGTGGAGATTCACGTGATAAATGTTATGATTCAGAGGAGAATACTTATCCCAGTCACATGATAGTTGTGGTAGCCAGTACCACATTATCATGCAATGTCTCTCCAGTAACCTCAAGGGAGTGGGTTACTCTTCACTTAGAATCCACTACTCAGATCATTGAACAACCACATACTTCAATATAAGTGGGCATGAGGGTCCATCTTCCATAATCTTTACAATGGTATTAAATTAGTTAATACCAAGGAAATGTGAACCGCAATTACCTTACATCTTGGTCTCCTGCTCATTGAAATAGGCATCCTTAAAAAAGTATAAATACTTATACCATATGTTGAAGCATTCTGGAACGTAACAACAAATACCACACTGCCAAGATTGAAGAGTAACCTGGTTGCCTGGACTATTACAGATATTACATATTGACACAAACCCCCATCCCCCCATTGCAAAGCCCATAGGATCAGAAAGGAACTGTGGATGTAATTT